TCCCAAAGTGGATCACTAGGTCCAAAAGCAGTTCCATTTTTAATTTTTTAAGGAAATGCCATACTGTTTTCCACAGTGGCTGCAGCAGTCTGCATTCCCACCAATAGTGCACTGGTGTTCCCTTTTCTCCACATCCTCGCCAGCACTTGTTTGTCGATATACACTGAGTGGCCAGATTATTATGACCACCTGACATTTATAGGCAAATTAGCTATAATTTTGCGCTGAAGTTGCTAGAGGGCCAGACCATTATAAATAGGGAAGCAGGTTGTTTACCACGACAGTAGAAGTGATTTTTTTCTGAAGATATGGGTAAACAACGCGATTTAACAGCCTTTGAACGTGAGTGGCCAGATTATTATGACCACCTGACGTTTGTAGGCAAATTAGCCATACACTGCATCGTATGGGATATGGAAGCCAAAGGCCTGTTCGAACACCTTTGCTGTCTGCAGTTACCAAGATAAAACGTCTTCAGTTTGCACAGGAACACAAGGATTGGACAGTCGAGCATTGGGAAAAAAGTCATACGGTCCGATTAATCACGTTTCCAGTTGCATCATGAGATGGCAGAGTGGAAACGGCATGAAAGCATGCATCCTACATGCATGAGTACAACCCTTCAAGCTGGTGGGGGCAGTGTTATGGTTTGGGGCATGTTTTCCTGGCATGATTTGGGCCCTTTAATTCGTGTAGAACAACATCTGAATAGCACAACATACCTAAGTATCATTGCTGATCAAGTTCATCCTATCGTGTTGATGGCATATCCCAATGGAGATGGCTTCTTCCAACAAGACAGTGCGCCATACCACGGTGCTTGTATTGTGCAGGAGTGTTTTCACGAACATGAGGGAGACTTTACCTTGCTTAGGTGGCCCCCACAATCACCAGATCTCACTCCAATTGAGCATTTGTGGGACGAAGTTAAAAGCCATCAGGCAGCTGGTTCCACAACCATCAAATCTCACAGAACTGGACAGTGCTATTCATCAGGCATGGTGTCAGATTCCTCGCATCACCTTTCAACATCTCGTGGAGTCAATGCCAAGAAGAATTGCCGCAGTATTGAAGGCAAAAGGTGGCCCAATGAAGTACTGATGGAGTGTCATAATAATCTGGCCACTCATCATAATACATATCTCACTTTCAAAGGCTATTACATCGCGTTGTTTACCCATATGTTCAGGAAAAAAATCACTTCTACTGTCGTGGTAAACAACCTGCTTCCCTATTTATAATGGTCTGGCCCTCTAGCAACTTCAGCGCAAAATTATAGCTAATTTGCCTATAAATGTCAGGTGGTCATAATAATCTGGCCACTCGGTGTATATACTATTGATGGTAGCCATTCTGACAGGTGTGAGGTGACACCTCCTTGTTTTAATTTGCATCTCTCTGATGATCAGTGACTTTGAGCATTTTTTTCATGTCTCGGCCATCTGTATGTCCTCTTTTGGAAAAGTGTCTATTCGGGCCATTTGCCCATTTTTTAAATTAGATTGTTTGTCTTTCTGGTGTTGAGTTGTATACGTCCTTTATATATTTTGGAGATTAACCTCTTATCAAATGTATTATTGGTGAGTACAATGGGTTCCTTCTTCATTTTGTTGATGGTTTCTTTTGCTGCCCCTCCTTTCTTCCTTCCCTTCTCCTCTTTTGTCTCCTATTGTTCTTCCTTTCCTTATCCCTTAAGTGGTGTCTCCCTCGTCGCCCTTATTGGCATCTCAGATTGCACAGTTGGGGCCTGGCCGGCTTGGCTCAGTGGTTGAGCATAGACCTATGAACCAGGAGGTGACGGTTCGATTCCCAGTCAGAGCACACAGCCAGGTTGCAGGCTTGATCATCAGTGTAGGGTGTGTAGGAGACAGCTGATAATGATTATTTCTCATCATTGATGTTTCTATCTCTCTCTCCCTCTTCCTTCCTCTCTGAAATCAATAAAAATATTTTTTAAAAAAAGAGTGTACAGGTGGAAGGGACAAGGGCAGCATAGGAACTGTTCACCCAGTGGCGAAGGTACTGTGATCTTAGAAGTCAACTTCTAAGATATGAATTGGAATATATGGAGTGACCATCAGTCTCCGAACCTCACATTTCTTGTTGACTCTGTATCCTTGAGGTTTCTGGATGGTCTCCTTCCATCGGGAGGTGAAGCCTGTTCTGACCAGTGCTCTGTAGTGGAGTGTCTTCTCTCCTTCACCGAAAGCTGCCACCTCACCGCAGGCCCTGGACAAGCTTTCACAGCTTAGGGGTTGGGCCTTCCTGGCATAATGATCCGTCGGTGCGCCCCAAATGCGTGCATGGCTGGGTTTGAGGGAACCACGCCTCGTGCTAGAGAAGAGACCAGGCTGACCTTTGCTTACCTGCCTGCAGAGTCAGGAACTCTGGTGAGCACCGCCCACCAGCACCACCACCACCACCACCACGTTGTACTGAGGGCAAGACCAGTGCTTGCCAGCCAAGGCTTGCCCACCAGCCGGAGAGAAGGGCCCAGGGGAGGAACCTGAGCACACCTAGAGCTTCAGGAGAAGTAAGTGAGCAGCTCCGGTCGGCGGGGGTCCAGCAGGCGGGGCTTCACCTCACCTGTTTCTGTTTCCACAGCAGAAGTCTCCTGGCCTTTTTGGTTTTGTTTTCTGTAACGATAAAACACTTATTTTGGCTCTAAAAAGTGGATCCTCTCTTCCCGCTAACCTGCACCTTTCAATTGGCTTTCAGACAGGC